TTAATATTAGCATCGTGATAGCAAGGCGGGTTAATGTTAGCGTAGCAATAGCAAGGTGGGCTAATGTTATCGTACTGATAGCAGTAGAACTAAGGTTAGCATGGTACTAGCAACTCAGGTTAGTTTTAGCACTATTCCAATGTTGACATAAATAGAATCGAAATCCCTTTATTGTCCCACAATGGGGAAATGGTGGTTTTTACAGCAGCAAAGGTTACAGTAGAAGAGGTCACACAATGTGCACCTTAAAAAAGTGTATAAAAATCAGAGATAGGAAATAAAAGAAATAGATTATTGTACTTTACAATATAATACTCTGTATGTGGAGGATAAAAAAAACAATAACAGCTGTGGAAGCTTTTACAGAAATGGATATATGGAAAATAGTAGCAACACTAGAGATGTGTAAAAAAAATTAAATGACTGTAGCATGTTATTCAATTCATTAAGACTTAAAGTGTGCAAAAATCAGCACGAATCTAAAAAAACCTATTGAGGTTGTTGGGAACAGTGGTGGTTCTAGAGTCTTCCAGCTGCTGGGAGGAAGGATCTGTGATAACCCTCCCTGGTTCGTTTAGGGCAGTGGTTCCCAAAGATTTTCTTCTGGGCCCCCCTTTGGATTACTATAAAATTTCCCCCCCCCCCCCCCCCCCCCCCCCCCCCCCCGCCAACCCCCACGACCCCCAAAAAAAAAGAAAAAAAAAAAAAGAATAAACTGGGCACAGACATCGTTCAACCAGATATAATAAATCTATACACATATTTTGTTTTCAAACTCCACTGAAGTTTATTTCACACTTCAGGTTGCAACAAAACAAACTACGCCATCTTTACAGTGGAACACTTTTGTGTAACTGTATTTTTTTCATAGTTCTATAATGTAGATTAGAAGAGGATTCTTTGCTGTCTGTGTTATTTTAAACATATTTCTTTTTTTTTATTTGTAACAATATTTAACTTTGCTATAATCTATACATTAAAAAAAGCCTCTGTGCAAAATGGAGTGAAAACATTGAACAGCTCCCTGAGAGTTTTTTCTTTGTACTTTAATCCTCCCATCTTTTCAGTGGCTGTAGTGAGCCTGCTTTTTGCTGTAGATCTTCTCAAATCTGGGTTGCAGTGTCACAACTGTCCATGCTCAGTCAACCAAGCGCTGTTTTTTTTTTTTTTTTTTTTTTCTTCATTCATCCATACCGCTTTCCGCGCCCCCCCCTGCAATGGCATTGCGCCCCCCCTAGGGGGCGCGCCCCACACTTTGGGAACCACTGGTTTAGGGTGCAGCAGTCTGTCACTGAAGGAGCTGTCCAGTTCAGCACCAGCTTCATGCATGGAGTGGGAGATATTATCCAACAGAGATGTTCATTTAGACGTTAAATATCTACATGTGCTCACTCTCAGCAGTCAGTGAAATAATGTCGTTCTTCTGTAGCAAACTGTCGTTATTGTTTCCTGTAAAGTTAAGTTTGTGTTTAAAAGCAGGAGCATCTAAAAACGGCCTCGTTATCCTCCTCCAGCTGCATCATAAATAGATCCTCTGCCATCACTGCCTGCTGCAGCCTGATATTTAAATGAGGAAAAATGATCTGTTTTCCGCCTTAATAGGAATGAAAACTCTAAATGCCACCATCAGAGTGTCCACTGTGAGATAAGCAGCGTCCACCCGTTCTTTAAAAACAGATGCAAGAGACACTTTGAATTTCTATTTTCCTATTTAACGATAGAAACTGAAAGGAAAAAAAAAAACGAGGATTTTTTTTTAGCTGTTTTTATTGGAGTTGGCCCCGGCGCTGAGAGCTGGGCTCTGTGCTGCTCCAGCATCTGTCATTCATTCTCCCAGCAGCCTTCATGTTTTTCCATGTTAGACGCCGCTGCTTCCTTATCTGCGCGTCTCAGTGCCGGTTCGTGAAAAGAAGCCCTGGATGAGCTACAGGTTTGGAGCCCAGAGATGAAAATGAACCCGCAGGGAAGAGAAAGTGAAACAGGAAAGAGGAACAGGTGGCGCTAAGCTGATTATTTCACCAGCAGCCAACAGGGAGCTGTCATGGCAGCGCTGCAAGTGACCAATCAGAACATCTGAAGATGCTCACCCTTAAATATGGAGAACAAATCACCCAGAAAGACACGACAAATCCTAATGATCCTTCGGAGCAGGCAGGCAGCTGCTGTTTCTGCTGCTAAATGTTGGTCGTGAGAAGATCTGAGCTCAGGTTTGGGTTCTGGCAGCGGGCTCGCCCGCCGCCGGCTCTCTGGGTAATCCTGTTAGCCGGCCGAGCGTGTCGCAGTCAAACAGTTGAATAACGGCCCTGCCTGCTGCCTGCTTCCTGCTACCGTGATAATCCACCATAACGGGGCACTGCTGTGAGCTCCTAGAGGAACAACAACAACAGAAAAAAAAGAAGACTAAATAAGAGCATTTTAAGCCTCAGAACCCAAATAGTTTTGATGTTTATTTAGAAGAAGCAGCTCAGGGGGAGACAGAGGCCGTTTTATTAATTCACAAAAACATGAGTACGGATTCGTGTCCACGCCAAGTATGAACCCAGGAAAGTCTGGACTCTGGGAGAACCGGAGCACACAGAGTATATCTGGGTCAATTGGAACACAAGTGTAATCCTGACATCACCACACGCCCGGCTGGAAATGCATGTCTCTGTAGATTCTGTTATTAATAGTCTCTAGATCAGGGGTCGGCAACCCGCGGCTCTTTAGCGTGGACCATGGATCCCAAAGGTGAAAAAAGGAAGATAGCTGATGAGAAAAGAGGATTCAAAGGAATAATTTTCTTTCATTATCAAAGGTGCATTGAAGAACTTCTGGATAAATTAGAGGAGAGCAAATGTAGATTTAAGAAGTGGATTACATCTCCAAACTCCACTACTGCTGCTAGTTTTGTTGCAAGGATGGAAAACCGTCCACAGAACCAAGAGGTAGAGCTCTGATGCAGGGATGCGAACGTTCTTCCATTTTTCCCCCAAATCCTAAAACTATAAATCACACCAAGGAATGCTGGTGACGGAGGATGTGGGATTTCAGGGTTAGAGAGCTCTGCTCTGATGGGTGTCAGTTCCTGCTTGTCATGAAGCGGTGTTGGGTTGAGGACCCAAAAGCAGAGGCAAGTTGGCAGAGGTGAATTTTGGTGGGTTTATTGAAGTTTACAGATACGGAGGCAGGAATCAAAGATCCAACAAAATAACACTAACCAGAGCCAAGGAGACATCAGGGGAAACCAAACTCTAGGAGCCAGGGAAAGACGAGGTAAACAAACAGACATTTTGACGAAACAGGAACTGAAGAGGGAGGGCTTTTAAAGGGGACAGAGACAAAGAGAGGGGATTGAAAACAGGTGAGGGCAGAACAGAAAACAGAGCAAGGGAAAGAGGACACAAGAGGGCAGCAGAGGACAACAAATGGAAAACCAAGACGACTGAATACTAAAAAGAAAATCATAACAGAAACCGAAACCTAACACTTTTTGGTTCTTCATGACTCAATCAACTCCTTCCAACAGAAACACGTCCACCATAGAAAGATTCCTTTATCCTGTTTCTATAATTTCATCAATGCAACAAAACTTAAACCACGCAGTGAAGGGCGGTGAAGCAGCGCAGTGAGAGCGTTCACTGCTCCTCCCTCACCTCATGCTGCTATGTGACGTTTGCTCGAGGATAAAGATTTAATCATGAATGCATATTATAGTGGGATAATATACTTAGAGCCCGTGTTTCCATATGAGACATGTAAAAGACTTCTACATTTTTGCGTTTTTAGACAGATTTATTCTTTGTTTTTTGGTCCAATATGGCTCTTGGAGCAGTTTGGGTTGCCGACCGCTGCTCTAGATAATAATAATTTATGACTTTTTTCATTTAGAGGGGGAATAATAATGAACACAGTCAGATAAACACAAAGGAAATGAACATTTTCCAAATAAAGCAAAAAAAAAATGGAGATCAGAGCCATCGATACTTCACACATGGCTATGCAGACAGAGGGCTGCTGCAGACGAGCTAACGTTAGCGCTGGCTGCTCCAGAAGGGCTAACGTTAGTGCTGGCTGCTGCAGACGGGCTAACGTTAGTGCTGGCTGCTGCAGACGGGCTAACATTAGCACTGGCTGCTGCAGACGGGCTAACGTTAGCGCTGGCTGCTGCAGAAGGGCTAACATTAGCGCTGGCTGCTGCAGGCGGGATAACGTTAGCGCTGGCTGCTGCAGACGGGCTAACATTAGCACTGGCCGCTGCAGACGGGCTAACATTAGCACTGGCTGCCGCAGACGGGCTAACATTAGCACTGGCTGTCGCAGACGGGATAACGTTAGCGCTGGCTGCTGTAGACGGGCTAACATTAGCGCTGACTGCTGCAGACGCTCTAACGTTAGCGCTGGCTGCTGCAGACGCTCTAACATTAGCGCTGGCTGCTGCAGACGGGCTAACGTTAGCGCTGGCTGCTGCAGAAGGGCTAACGTTAGCGCTGGCTGCCGCAGACGGGCTAACGTTAGCACTGGATCATGGTTGGCTCAACAACAGTAATCCAAAGCATGACACCTCCAGCACCGTGCTTAAACTTTGTTTTTCGTTTATCATGGTTCTGTTGTCAATAAAGCATCTATATGTTGGTCTCATCTATTTTTAAGAACCTTGTTTCTACAAGTTTCCACTCTGTAATGAATACTAACCAGAGTCTTGCCACCAGTTTGTTTTTATTTAGAAAAAGCTTTTTACTTTAACACCTTAAGGTAGCTAAAAACAGATTATCATACCTCCACCACCGTGCTTGACAGCTGGTATACTGCCATGCAACCAAGCAACCAGACTCATTCAGGGTCATGACCTTTGACCTGCTGCATGGTCTGAGATGGAGCTCTAGGGTTTTTGTATCAGCACACACCTGCAGCCTTCAGAGAAGCAAACTCCATCCAACAGCTCCTCTGCTGTGAGGGTTCAGAGTTAGATCTGGGTGAGGTCTGCTAGTTCAACAAAATGTTTTCTTCTCGTCTGCCAGGGTTCGCCTTCAAGCCGGGGTTCTGTCACCATCAGGACCCCAGATGTCCCAGTTAAACCAGTGGCCCAAAGCATCGCAACCCAGACCAGCCAGGCTCCCTCTGGTCCTGCTGCCTTCTTCATCAGGTCAGTGAACGCACCATTCCTTCAACCATCTACCTTCAAGCCAGTTGAGGAGCAGACTGGTTCCATTGGTGCACAATTAGCCGCTGTCGTTGACGGAGATCCATAAAGTTCTAGGATTCTGCAGAAACTTTGTGGTCTTTAGTTGACACGGTATCACAGGTTTGAGTCCTGACCTGTTGACCTTTGCAACATCTCTTCTCCGTTTCGCAACTCTCTAGTTTTAAAAAAATAAAACCCAATAGTGCCTAAAAAGAGAACATGCAGAACTTCTGTCCTTTGAGGACTTTGGTAGATCTTGGTTCATCTGCAGGTCAAAGGAAGCCGTTCCTGTTGGCTGCAGCTCCATGAAGCTTCAGGTATTTTTCTCTCGTTTATCAAAACGAAGAGACAAATTTATGTGAGAAATTTTTCTCTCTTGGAAAAAGAAAAACATTTAAAAACATGTTTGTTGTTTGGTTTGGATGTTGAGTTTTTTTTTTTCAGAAAACACAAATAATGGATCACAATTACAGATCAGACCAATAAACAAAGATGAGAAAAAGGGCCAGAAGCAGAAAGATCGTAGGTCTGACTCTAAATAAACAGCATTTAATTTAAAGTCGTAGCAAAGTCATATTTAAATATCAAATCATTCTGGTTTAAACATGTATATGTTAGTTCTACGTCAGCCTGAACTTCTAAATTCAGCCAATCATATATCAACGGTCATCTGTCAATCAATTATTTTCGGTCATAGCATCTTGATTCATATGTCGCAGCTAATATACGCAACGGTTGAAACCAGAATCCTTTCCTTTCCCATTGAGTTGCGTCCCAGTGTTCACGGGGATGGACGTCTGCGTCTTCGGCAGGCGTAGAGCTAACAGAACTGGCAGCGTTGCGAGGCAAGGGCTCAAACATGTACGGCTGGAAGCCTTCTACACCAAACCAAGCTTCTGCCGCCCTGGCGTCCTCTTCCACAACATCTTCGTCCCCGCTTTCCTCCTCTAAATAAAAAATGGATGACGGAGGAGACTCATCCACGACCTCCGACACTAAACTCTCCTCCTGTTGCATGTTTCCTCTGTCCATAGCGTTCCTTGACAGCGTCGTTTCTAAGTCACCAATTTAGTGCTACTTGGTCCCAATGGAATTTCCCATTGGGAACCTGCTAGCACTAAGATGCTAACTGGTTAGCAAGATGCTTCCAACAAACCGGCCACAACCAAACTTGCTTGCGAACCTTCCGCCACAACAATCCCGCCCCCTTGATAATCGACCAATCACATTCACTTTATTCACTCGGGTAAAGTCAGGCACCACTCGGGATAATTTGGAAATGCAACGGTTGGAACAGCCGCTTCACGACGACTTTAAAGCTTAAATTATGTTGAGACATTATTATCCTCAAAAGAAAAATTGAATTCAATGTTTCCTCTATGACTTTATGAAGACCGAGTTCCAAGAAACGTCTCAGTTTGTTTTTAGCTTTCAGTACATTTTTTTGTTTGGTTTCCTGCAGGATAAATACATTTTAATGTAACAGAATCCATTTGGATCCTTGTTAAGTTTCCAACTTTAACCTATAAGGAATGAAACAAAGACAGTGTAAGATTTTTCCTGACCGTGCTTTGCAAAGGGAAAATATACAGAGCTTCGGGATCTCTCTGTGCATCTTCGTCTTGCTCCACGCTTGCAGGCCTTTTTATTGAGCAGTCAACACATTACAACAGCAGGCGTTAGTTTTGACAATCTCTTAGACATAGCATGAACTTTTAAGATAGGGAACATGTCTGGTTTCAGGGTACGCTTTTAAAAAAGGTGTCGGGGGGTTATTATCTTTAACTTCTGTGTTTCTCAAATGAAAAACAGGGAAGCCTTCTCGCAAAACATTTGACCGTCTTATGACCTGCATACGCTGTTTCCACTGATGACAGTATCATAGAAAAAACAAATGATTAAAAGTAATATAAAAGATATAAATGAATAAAATGATAAAAACAACAGAAATCATAATAACTCCAACAATTATCCTCAAAAGAAAAATTTAATTCAATGTTTCCTCTATGACTTCATTAAGACCGTGTTCCAAAAAACGTCTCAGTTGTTTTTAGCTTTCAGTGCATTTTTTTGTTTGGTTTCCTGCAGGATAAATAAATTTTAATGTGACAGAATCCATTTGTAGCCTTGTTGCTCTGACCAGTGACGATGATGAAGGTCTTCCTGCTTTAGGCGGTAAAATCCAGACATATTTGCTTTGTGCAGTGACTGGAACAGTGTTTTCCAGTCTCCTTCATGGAGGAGAAGTGTTCCCGTATTTAAATCCGTCTGTCCTGATTCAGATTCAGAACCATGAAGGCTTCGGTTCAGAAGTCAAAGCCCGGCTCGTGTCGCTGCGAGAAGAATCTAATTGACAGATTTACTATTTTTATCCTGGGTGAGGTTGGAGCTGTCAGCGAGGCTCTGCTGAGTTCAGGAGGTTCTGCTGCATCTGCCTGATAATCAGCCCACTGGTGCTGCATACCTGATGCAGGTGTGTGTGTGTGTGATGTCACAGCCTGATAAACAAGCGGACCTTTTCTGCTCAGTGGTGACTCTCAGTGATCGGGTCACGTTAGGCGTCCTGTTGGTACCGTGACGAGCAGGATGACATTTCCTGCTGCTGCTGCTGAGCTGGAAAAGGAAAACTCTGGAAAAACTGCAAAACTTTGAGATTTTCCTCAAAAAACAAGTTAAAGTTTGGTTAAAAAATAACAAAAAACGTAGAAAGTCAAAAACAGAAGACGGATCAGGACCAGAATCCTGGTTCTGCTGCAGAGGAAGGCTGGAAAAGAAGAAACAACAGAGGCAGTTTAGTGGGAAAAAAGTATTCAACTATTCTATTCTATAGATTTCACTCAGTAGGCGCTTTATTTTCTTATCTTTGCAAAGAGAGAACAGTCCATCCTGCAGCCCGTACTGCTCTGTATTCAGCCCTGTTCTGACTAGACAGAGTTTGTCTTCCTTGCTTATGTTGGAAAACTGTGAAGGTTGAGTTAGAGTTAAAACAAATTACTCACACTTTAACAAACCTTCAGAAACTATTTGGCTCGTTGTAGGAATAAGTAGGTTTTCTCTAAACCCCCTAGCCTCGTGAGACCATCCTGATCTCGCTAATCAGTCTGGAGACTCTCCGTTAAAAAAAATTTGGAGCCGTTCACCAAACGAACGTCCAATCAGCGTTGGCTTTGAGGCGGGTTGAGGTGTGACGCAACGAGAAGCGCGACAGTTCAGTCTAAAGAACATGGCGGCTTCAGCCGATCAAACTAGCGTTAGCGTGGCTATCGAGCAAGTTTTATCGGAATTACAGAGTATTTCTTCACTGAAAGAAGAGCAAAACACTGATCTGGAGGCTTTTCTCAGAGGAAAAGATGTTTTTGCTCTTCTCCCGACTGGTTTCGGCAAGAGTTTGATCTATCAATTGGCTCCTCTTCGTCGTCGCTCGGTTAGTACGTCATATGCTTCGTTGATCTGATTGGTTTATTTGGCCCGTCTATCACCAACATAGGCCAATCAGCTAACCAGTATTTTCGCCCCTTCCCAAAATTACTTCAACGGAAGGTTTCGAGATGGATATGCGGAGCAAATCCATCTGGCGGAGTCAGGTTAACATAACTAAATATATGAGAACAGAGAAATCTGGTCAGCAACAAACAGCACCATGGATCCGAACAGCACTGGGAGAATTTGGAGGATGGGAAACCAGTGAAACGGTTCGGATCATCATAAGATCAGCTCCTTATCCCTCTGAGGCTGATCACGATATGGATACAGATTTAATTTCCTACCAGTAACCGGATCACCAGAACCTAGATTCTGAAGTTACCGCTTGATGTGGAAACAAATGTCAGAGCTTCCTTGCTTTGCTTCGTCTCCCATCTTCTCTGGCGGATCCCGTTGGGTTCTTATCTGTTCTCCATTTTTCATTTGGATGAAATAATAGCTGCATGAATCATGACAGCAGACAAGATAGAGGAGAGCAGGAGGCGGGGTTACAATCTGCTTGCTCTGGAGAGCAGAGTTCGCTGCTTTTAGATGTTGTCTCCAAAGTCTCCAGTAGCAGAAAAAAGCCTCTAGATTTGGCGCTAGGAGCTTTTTAGAAATCAAAGTGCTAGAGGGGTCTGAAAAGTGGCTAAATATAGCGACTAAAGCGCTAAGTTGGCAACACTGCTCTTTGCATGGTTTGTTTTCAAATGGTTTGCTGCTGTCTGTTTGGACCTTTCTGAACATGTGCAGCAAATGGACTGATCCAATATGGTGGACACTGAAGGGGGGGGCTGAGACACACTTAATATTATCAGCGTTCTGACGGCATTTTAGCGAAAGGATTTTTATCAAAAACATAATTAATGTGCAGAAATAAGGAATAGTTGTATTAACTATACATGGAAACAGAATTTCATGGGGCCCCCAGGAACTTGGGGCCCTAGGCAACTCCCTAGTATTGCCTTATGGTAAATACGCCCCTGACACCAATGTGTTCCTTCTCAAACAGACACTCCTCCAGAGAGGATCTTCAAAAGACCAGAATTCTGACCAGTTTGAGGATTAAAGGAAAAGTACACCCAAAACATGATTAGCCTTCATTTTCTACTCACCCCCATGCTGAACAACACTCTGGAGTACTTTTTGATATCTCAAATGCATCTGGAGATCTGGGAGGCTTCTTGCTGTCTGCTGACATTCAAATAATGGAGGTCTATGGCGCCCGAGGCAGAAAGGTCCATAAAAGTCCACAAAAAACGCGTCAATATTCCTCCATACTGCTCGTCCAATGTATTCCAAGTGTCCTGAGTGGGTAGCATCCAGAATTTACTCGAAACGAAGTCATTTAGAATGTTTTTAGAGCATAAACAGTAGTGTATAGGATTTCCTGAAAGCGCGTTCACGAGTCTACGGAAACCGCGGCAGACCAAACCAGATGAAAGTGCGCATTCAGCTCGGCAAAGAACTCATGCTCTTCCTCAACACTGAAGTCCTCAGACATTTTTCTTTCGTTGTTTCTTTCTTTGCACAGGTAAACAGCACATTTCTTCTTCTATGCTTGCATTATCGGCAGAGCAGACGCTGAATGCGCACTTTCATCTGGTTTGGTCTGCCGCGGTTTCCGTAGACTCGTGACTCGTGCATTTGAGATATCAAAAAAGTACTCCAGAGTGTTGTTCAGCTTGGGGGTGAGTAGAAAATGAAGGCTAATCATGTTTTGGGTGTACTATTCCTTTAAGATTCAGATTCAGATCAGAAAGATCTGATTTCATCATCAGGCTTCAGATGTTTGGATTCCAGGATTTAATGTCTGGAACTTAGAGAAGGTCAATAATATATAAAAACAGTATAACATCTAAAAATGTTTTTCATCAGGTAGCAACAGGAAGCTAATAGCAGCCTGTTGTTTTTTATCGCTAAAGGTTTATTTTTCTGCGGTGAAAACATAAAAATCAAACATTTCCTCTGTTATGTAAACCAGACGAGCTTCAGCAAACACAGAGACTCCGATCCTGTTTGGGTTTTTTTCCTCCAGCTGCTGGGCCTCCATAAAGCCCCTCAGATGAATCTCAGGGTTTGCATTAATCGGCAGAATTCCCAGCATGCATCTGTCACAGTTCTTCAGGCTGAGAGGAGCCGCTGCGCTTTCATCTGCAGATCTTTGGAGGCTCGATTAGTCTGCAGCTCCCCGCAGAGTTTCCTCGGTGCTCGTCAGAAAGCTTCACAGCAGGTGACGCCTTCAGAACCAGCAGTCCGATGATCAGACCTTCATGTTCCTCAAACCTCCATGACAGACAGACTGGTTTCTGATCACAGAGACGATTTTTACAGAACAGCAAGGAGGAAAATCTGGTTCTATGGAGGTAGATTTGTTTCTTTATTGTTCTATAAAAAATATATGTATTTTCAATTTAAAAAATCTTCAATTCAATGAAAAAAAAACTTTTCAATCAAAGAAAAAAAGTATTTGAATGCAAAAATATATTTGAGACTAAAAAAAATACATTTGAACACTGCTTTTCTGTGATCAAAAATGTTTTATTTGATAGAAGTCCAATCTTTTTTGTTTAAAGCAACTTTTTTAATTGAAGTAACATTGTTTTTTGATTGGACCTTATAATGGGTAGTACATTTGTGTCTTTATTATTAAGTCAAAAAAGAAGTTTGTTTAAACAAACAAACAACAGAATCAATAAAAAAGTAACTTCAATGAAAAGATAAACATTTTTAATCATAGAAAATAGTTTTTGAATGTAAATAAAATATTTGAGACTCAAAAAATTGCATTTGAACACTTTTTTTTATTGTTGAAAATGTTTTCTTTGGTTGAAGGGATCAATTTTCTGTTTGGGCCATACATGGGTATACGGAAGAGGATTAGGGCCACTGAAAAAAAAAAAAAAGTTAACTGATTTAAAAAAAAAAATTTCAGTTTAGTATGGGAAAAAAGTCAGAATTCTTTTTTTTTTTTTTTTTTTTTAACAGTGTCCTGTCTGGCAAGGTGGCAATAAGAATAATTGTCTTGATGCCAAAAGGAGCCCAACAGATTTTACTTTCACAAGTGTAGCGGTATCGCAATTGCCATACCGCTCCACTTGTTTCATGTATATAAATTGCTTTATTATAATTATGCAGGGAGTTCTACAGTTCATATGGACACTGCAATGTAAGTAGAGCAGAAAAACAGAAGAAGAAGAAGGAAAAAGAAAAAGAAAAGAAAACAGGACAAAAGATGAAAGAAAGAGGAGATAGGAAGGAGACAATGACAAAACATTTTCAGTCTGCTTCAACACCTGTAATGAGATGGAAAAAAAAAAAAAGAAAAAAAAGAAAAGCACAACCAAAAGACATGGTACGAGATATACAATAAAGCAAACACCTTGAAACTATCGCTAAAGTAATATTATTAAGTCTGACATGTACTCTGTGTTACCTGAAGATATGAATGTGGGGTTTCTGTTTGGAAGTGAATCTCTAAGTACCTGAAGCCTAGCACCTGTAGTTGTTTGTGAGGGTGAACTTGTGCATGTAAAGTTTAACCATAGAAAAAAATGCTCAATAGTGGTTGTGGAGAGCCGGAGAGGCACACCCCCCAGAGCACTGAGTCCAGCGCCGGGAGACCCAAAGCCCCAGGCGCCCAAGGGGACCCCAGAAGCGAAGGCACCAAGGCGGGGCCACCCCCGGAAATCAGACCCCCACCAAGGCAGGAGGAGAGACAGCCACGAAGAAGCCCCCCAGCCACCGCCATGCCGGCGCCCCGGGGAGCCGCGGGGACGAGTCAGCGGGCCCCGCCGGCCGCCGGCCACCCCGAAGTAGGGCCGGGCACCGAACACCAGCCCCCCCCACGGCGCCGACCGAAGCGCCCCAGCCCCACAGAGCACCGAAACACGCCCCGCCCCCCGGCACCAAGCCCCGGCGACCGGCCGCAACACCCAGGAAAAACACTCAGGCGGCCCCGCCCCCGGCCGGGGCCC